GCAAGGTGGCTTTGATATCAATTGTTGGGTTTTTATTCAAAAACTAGTTTCAAAACATAATATTTGGCAATGGAATACCTTATCATTTTTAAATAACATAAACAAGTTAAACTCACCAAGGATCATCTTGCAAAGTTTCGAAAGAAAACAACAAGCATCAAAGAAGAAGATGAAGAAAAGACAATCTTTTTAGTTCTTTTGATCCTCTTGGGAGGCTTGGAATTTGATGAAGAATGATGAATTTAAGAGGCACCAACAAGTTGTCTACTTGATTTAATATGTTGGTATTGTAAGAAAACTCTTAATCTCTTAAACTTGAAGTTCATAACAAAAGTATGAACTTCAAGAGAGTATAAAAGCAACTGTTTTTCATGTGTTCATAGCAAAACTAGAGAGAATGAGATGAAGAGCAAATTTCATATTTTGAATGAGATAATAGATCATCTAAATGAAAGCCTCTAAGCTAGTTAAAGTGAAAGCTTAATCTAAAGGTCCTTAACCATTAAGCCCTTTAGACAAGCTTGTTCCCCATGCCTTCACCCATACCTTATACTTTTGAATAAACAAAGTGAAAGGACTTACTCCTCCCATCTAACTCTATTTTCGGATTTAAGATACAAAAAAAGAAGCATTACTTTTATATTTTATAAACCAAGTTTATAAAATATAAACTTTAACTTTTTGGTATAATACAAAAAGATTTATCTAGTCCAAAATGTTGTGCATGACTTATAAATCATACCATACAATATATATTATGTTACATACTAATGAAAATTAATTATTTCCTAGAAATAAATAATTTCTAATTTAATTATTAGAGTTTATTGAATATTTATTAAATTCAATTTCTAATAAATAATCAATTGTATCAAGTTGTTGTTAGTGTGACCCATTAGTATCATATGTCAATTAGCAATATCACTTTAATATGATTATTGAGCATAATAGAGAGGCCTATACACGGGTTTAAGAGTTATAGAAATCATTCAAAACCCTAAAAAATTCGTAATTACTATTGAGATTTATATAAAACCCTAAAAACCATCCCATGCGCTGCATAGTCGCGTAGCTACGTTCCAGATTCAGATCTGTATAATTTTCGGGGTGCTTTCGATTTTTGGGTGTTTTCTAGTCTATTGTTTGCTTCTTGAGTGCAACCACAAAAAAGAGATTCTCCATTGAATCCTCCAAAGTCCGATCAACTGGAGACGTCGAAGAAATTGAACAACACAAGTCTATGTTTTTCTATCCTTCTTGTTTTCATTTTTTTAGTTGCATAGATCTGGTTGAACGTTGTTCCTCTATTGAGTTTTGAGTTTGGATTATATGTATGTTTTTGTTGTTGCCTTTGTGTCCTAAAAGACCCTCATAACCGAACAGTGGTATCGGAGCCTACCTATTCATGTCTATGGAACTTATGGTTTCCATTATTTTGTGTTTAATTGAGTTTGTATGTTCAGATCTGATCTGGTTTCAAAGTTTTAATTTAGTTTTAAATGTTTTATAAATTGCCTGAATAGTAAAACCTAATTTTTCCCTGTTGCAAGCTCAACATTATCCATGTATGTGGCATGTAGCCCTCGCTCCCCCAAAAAATGCCCCTTATATATCTGTCTCGATTTCGTGTACATGAAAATTTGTTAATTTTACTAAAGTTGAAAATCATAATTCTAATTGGTTTATTTATTTGATTAATGTCTAAATATTTAATTAAAAGTCAAAGATGGAATATACTGTTGGATTAGGTGTCTAAGCCCATAACTATAATTGGGATGTACTTGACCGGATAGTAGCATGGTCCTTTTGGGTTGCCTTCACCAGTGCAATTTGATAGGACAGACTTTTAAGAATAAGGTTATTTATGATTTATTAATATATTTTAAGTATAATATATTAATTGAGAAATCATATTATTTAATTAGTACTGATCGACAATTAATTTGGAATTAATTTTGTGATCAAAAGAGACTAATTAAATATGTGGGGATTGATTATGTAAATCAATGATTCTTATAGTGTGGGATAATGATCCATGGTTATTTAGGATGGGCTAGACCAATGAGATAGTCCATTGATAGTTCATGGAGGTTTAACCTATGGAGCCTAAGTAATATGAAAGGTCATTAGGATTTGTAAGTTGTAACCCTAGAATTTGCTACACTATAAAAGGACCTCCCTAGAACCAAAATCGGTTACACCATCATTCTAGGAGAGTGATATAGTTTTTGTGCTAAGTAACTTATTCTCTCAAGCCTCCTCTTGCATTTGGTGTTTGTGACACATTAGAGGCATCACACTTGAGGTGCTCAAGCTTTCAAAGGACAAGAACAACAAGTCCTAATAAGAGATAAGTTATCTAACTAGTTGTATTGTTCAATTGTCAATTTGTATGCTAGTTAGGATGTATGCTTTGGAAAATTGAAAAATGCATGTATAATTAGAGAAAACATAGATCCAAAGCATCTAGGGTGACATGTGCACCATAAGAGTGTTATAGTGCTTAAAACCCAACATTGGTATCAGAGCCTAGGTTTGTTTTCTGTTATACTTGATGCTTATTGCTTTCCAAAGTTGAAAAAATCATTTTCTGGCCTCTGACTGATGAACTCGCCGAGTCCATTGGCTGACTCGACGAGTCCACTCAGTAAATGACCAAATCGACGAGTCATGTTCTTGCACCCGCCGAGTTGATGGCTCTCGATGCAGAATTTCGTGTTTTTGGCCATAATTGGATTAGGATCATTACCACAAACTGTTTTTTGAAACATGTAATCTGTTTTCTTGATATGCTGGTGAGCATGCTCATCCAATTAAAAGAAAATTGTCAGAGTTTCAAGATTTGTATTATTTTATATGATTAGGCTAATTTCTTGTAATTGTTGATATGAATTAACTTGACTTATGTGTTTACTAGATCATAGATAAATTACTTGATAATTTGTGTTAGATAAAATGTTGATCTTAATGATTTTAATGACCTCCATAACTTGTCCTCAAGTTATGGAAAATGAAAGGTCTCATCCATTAAAATTCAATTAAACTCAAACGTTATAGAAATGAAGAGTTTTGACAAGTTTCAAAACTTGCCCTCAAGTTTTGGAATTTGTAAAGTCTCACTAATGTAACTTTAATTCCAACCCCTAGAGTTTTAAAAGTTAAAGTTCAACCCTTATACTTTATCATATTATATGTTTAATTATATATATATATATATATATATATATATATATATATATATATATATATATATATGTATAAGACAAGTCAGTCTTACCGTTAGTAGGCCTCATTCACGAAGCCGATCTATAAGGAGGGTATAAGGTTACTGCCTATAAAATGGTGGTTTAATGGGTGTCCACTCTCACCCACCGCTTCCTTGAGTGGTGGAGGGTCGTTAGCCGAACGGGTAGGATAGGACATTAATTCTTGTTAAAAGTATAATGATAAATATAAAGTAACTAAACTTTTATTAAATTCCCAATCTTAGTTACTTTAGGAAAATATGAAAATGGTGCTAATCCATGAAATTATACTTTGCACCTTGTTAAGTCGTTAGTGGAGCGTGTGTGGTTAACTGGCACACTAATTTGGGACTGACAATGTGTGGCAAAGGGTAGCTTGATGTTAATCATAGATCAATGGAGCGTGTGTGGTTAACCGGCACATTGATTAGGTGATTTGTAACATTGAGTGTACCAAGCTAATTTGCATGGTTATTCACACCTTGTTTGTGATCCTCGGCATCCCAGTCACCAACTTGAAGGGCACAATCGAGATTTAAACATGGCATTGAAAAGCTCAATGAATCTCAAAGGATCTAGGAATTTCAATGCAGTTAAAACTTAATAATCTATTTCGTTTTTCATGGTGGAAATTGGTAAATCGTCATTTACCTACCTTGAAATATTTTACAATTGGATTACAGAATCCCTTTTCGCAATTATAGAATGTTGTGTTGGGTCCTAGCCTTAAAATTTCATTTGGGTGTAATATTAAGGATTATCATCAAATCTAAACTTTGTTCTTCTTCTTTTTCAGATGTCTATCCCAAACAATGCTTCCAACCCAATCCCTCCAGATTCTTTCTCCCTCATGAACCTATGTGGGAGGGTTATTTTCGATAGGTCGAACTTCAATGACTGGATTCGAAACATCCGAATGGCTATTCCTTATGAGGACAAGGAATATGTCCTAGATAAAGAGCTTAAAGAGATGGATGTCACCACTACTACTCCCAAACAGATCGATGAACATACTACTCATGAGAGGGATGCGACAAAGGTGTCGTGTCTAATGATTGTTACCATGACTGCTGAGCTGCAGAAGTCCTATGAGGACTACTATCCTTTTGAAATGTTTTAAGATTTGATGGAAAGATACCATCAAAGTGCTCGGCAGGAGAGGTATGAGATCATTGCCTCCATGATCACAACCAAAATGAAGGATGGAGAACCCATCACGGCCCACTTGAAAAAGATGCAGAGAAAAACAGTCTTTTACGACGCGCAAACCACGACACTCATTGATTTATGTTACACAAATGAGAATGACATTAAAAAAGTGTCATCTCTTCAGGAAATTTAAGGATTTAGGTCACGCATTATTGCATCCCCTTAAATTACTGTCATAAGAAAAAAAATTAAAAACACGGAGGGCACTGTATCTTAAATGTGCATCCTCTATAAGTGTTGCTTTATAATTTTAATGACACGCGTTCCTTAGTTACAAGCGGGAAAAGAAAAGCCAAAAAATTAGAAAAGCCTGCTACCCTCTTTGCCCTAAGCGTTTTGACGCATCTTTCATTCTCCTCACACTGTTGTGCAACTTCTTAATCAAAGATCCAAGGTTACGATCATCGACATTCTTGATGCCTTCATCTCATGATTGATTGAATCGTATGCTCTTTTATGAATAATGCATTTTTTTTAGTTTTTCAGGGCATACGACTTAAGTATATGCATCCAGATAGCGAGCTCCAACATTATCTTATGCAGATTATGGATATGCTTCGAGGAGAATCTGTTGTAGATGCACAATCATTGGTATTTCCTTATCAGTTTGTAGATTTACCTTTGTTTTCTTAATGTATGATTTTTGTTTTTAAAGAATCAATCAACATACTAATGCATTATTTTTGTTTTCAAAGGCATGTTTTTTCTATATTCTACGGGTTGGTGTGATTGATCAAGTGACTGAACCTACAAAAAGGGTCTTCTTAGTTAATCTAGGAAAGCAGGTTTGCTAGAAATTCTCACTTCTCATATCTCATCTCACTCAAGTTATTATCTTTCTTGATTCCATTAGTTCCAATGACTTGGCATGATTTCTCTGTTACAGCTTCATTCCCCTGATGCAAGTCCATCAATGAAAATTGCTGCTTTACGCACCTTGTCATATACCCTGAAAAGTTTAGGAGAGAGGTACAGTGTATCCTTAGGCTGTTTTTAATAATTTATTACGACATCACTTTCAATTTCTCTTTTCATTTTCAGGTTCTTGTTGAATTCAAGGAGGTTCTTGATGACACAGCAGTAGCAGCAATGTCCAACTCTTCACCTCTTGTAAGATTTATGATGTTTTTGTTATCTTTTTTTTAGTTGAAGGCACTAAGAGAAAATGTGTCATTTGGGAAGGTATTACATCAAAGACCTAGTTGTTTTTCTCGAAGGAAGATTAGAATCCAGTTACTTCACTTGTTTGTATATTGTTTTCTGAAAATGGTATATTGGGAAACAATATGAAGGTTGAGCTTGATTCCTTAAGTGAACAAGCTACAGTTTTGGTTGCACTTGCATCTGTCTCCCCAAATCTGCCTCGTGGTTATCCAGCCAGGTAACAATTTGAATTTTCTTCATATTTATGATGTTGAAGTGGTAAATAGACTGTGGTTTTTAACTTTATTATTTATTTTTGTGTTTAGATTGCCAGAACAATGCTTGATGTAGCTAGAAAAATGATAACAGAAGCTAGCAGGAACCATGTGGTTGCTACATTTGAAAAAGAAGCTGGATGGTTACTTCTCTCATCCTTGTTGTCTTCCATGCCAAAGGAGGTATAACTGTTTTTCTTCTTCAGTGGCATTATAGTAATTCTTGATTCTAAAAACTGAAAACTGCTGCATGAGGTGTACAGGAGATGGAAGACCAGGTGTTTGATATTCTTTTGTTAGGGGCTGATGTCTTTAGTGGTCGTGGGCAACAGCCTCAAGCAGATTCATCTGAGTATATATCTTCTAAAATAAGGTTAGCCCACTTTTCATCAGTTATGCCCTTTTTGTTGGGAAAATTACCCATATGCCCTTTTGGATCAGCTTGGAACACGCGTCCACCGCTTGCCTCAGTCACGTGATTCTCAACCGTGAAATTTATTTTTTCATTAAATTCTTATTGTATATTGGCTGTAAATTAGCTGTAAAGTTAATGTGTATCTTTTCTTGTTACGTATTTTCCTTATTTACTGAGGTAGACTCTAGTATAAATTTAGACTTTCCCTTGTATCATTCATCCCAAGAAACACATTCACTGTTTCCTTCTCTCCCCAATGGTGGATCTGTTTGAACAAATTTTCCATTAGGTGACATAGGGTTCCTATCTAGATCCACCATTCGTTTTCCCCAATGTTGCAACTCTTGGTTAGGTTGTACAGAGCACAGGGTATGTATTCAACTTCATCAATTGTGCGCCAGGTAGGATTATTTTTGTATGATTACAAAAACTATTTCCTTAAACGCCACATCATCATTAACGATTCTTGGTTGCTATTCCAGCACATTCGCAAGTATCTACCCGAGCTGCTTTCTTTAATATCAGAATTATGGTCATCATTCAGTCTCCCAGCAGCTAATCGTCTTGTTCATGGACCCCCAGTAAAGTGTGCTTTTACTATCTGTCTTTTGTACAAAGGGCATTAATGTAATTTGACTTTCTGATTAGATCCTGCACCTAGTTGAACAACTTTGTCTGGCCCTGAACGATGAATTCGGGAGATATCTTCCTATAATTCTTCCATGTTTTATTCAAGTTATGAGTGATGCTGAAAGGTGTAATGATTGCACTTATGTCCGTGATATTCTCTGCACCTTGAAAGTTTTTGGTGGTGAGTGTGATTGTGATTATGGAAATTATAATAATTAGTCTCCTAACATGTCTCACTAATTTGTTAATTATTAAATTTTGGTCTACAGGAACATTGGATGAAAAAATGCATATACTTCTTCCTGCTCTCATAGGATTATTTAAAGTGGATGCTTCTGTTGACATAAGGCTTGCTGCTATAAAAACCTTGATAAGATTAATCCCTCCTGTTCAGCTTAATGAATTTTTTTTGGGTTTGTAACAAAGGCGTAGACCTTTAATTGTTGCTAGTGTAGCAGCATAAAAGTCAATCTGACAGCCTCCTATGGACCTTATGAAGATGTTCACAAACAACCCAAAGTTCACCAGGTATTCAAAAATATTATACACACATATATATATATATATATATATATATATATATATATATATATATATATATATATATATATATATATTGAATTACTTAAGGAGTCACCTTCTCCAGCTCTAAGAACATGTGCCAGGCTGGCACAGTTACAAGTGTCATTTTTAAAATTTGCTATCATTTAGAAATTCAATTGTAACCCTGGTTTCTTTTTGCAGCCATTTGTTGGACGAGAGTTTTTGTAGCAGGATTTGTTAGCTATTGGTCACAACTCCATGAGTCTAGTAAAAAAGCCCCTGTTCGCAGTTTAGAGATGGCATTTTCTTCCCCTAGTTTCTGTTTTTCCTTTTTTTACCCTTTTAGAACATAAAACACCATGTAGACTTACCTGTTTCAAAATCCATTTCAGGCTCTTATGTACCCTCTTCTTGTCGCCTGTAATTTAATAAGCAATTTGAGGAAGGCTGCAGCTCAGGAAGTGGATGACAAAGTGAGGCAGCACAGTGGTCTGTTGGTTGATCAGGTGAAATAATAACTTATTTCATGCATATTTTTTAAATTCCATTAAAGTTAAATTGTAGGGATAAATGCAAATCACAACAATATAATGGTTTGGTTGGTTTTCTTTTTTAATTTGAACAACCGGACACTCTCCTGCAAATTCAAAAGGAAGATGGCACAGGTAAGGAGTAACCTTTGGGAGCTGCCCTTGAGGCCACCAAAAATACTTTGATTCAAGACAGTATAAAACTCTTATTGGTAGATCATTTTGATTCCACTCTCATACATACCATGTGTATTATCAATTAGTTGATATTGATATTGTACAACTGACATGATTATTGTGTAGGATTTCCGTATTGTTTTTGATCAAGAGTTGGTATTGATATTGAATCTAAGAGACATGAGGATTGGTTGGAAACAAGAAGGTGCCCCTTTATATCAATGTAGTATTAAGTTATATAGTTAGGGAAAACCTCTTAATAACAATGTACAATCAGATCCCTTTAATATCAACATATTACAATTTTTTGACATGATGTTATTGGATGAAATTGATTGTTTTGGTATATATTTTTTCTATATTTTTGTATTATGCGTAAAAGAGTATCGTAAAGGCACGTCGTATATGCATATTGTAAACGGTTGTTGAAGTTTATGACACACAAATGCGTGTCATCTTCATTTATGACAGGGGCTATAATAATACACATTACGTGTCCTAAACGCGCGTCGTAAGGTTACGACACACAAATGCGTGTCGTCTTCCTTTATGACAGGACCTTCCTTGATACGCATTGTGTGTCGTAAATGAGCGTCGTAAATGTGTGGCGTAACTATTAGATATAGTGTCTAAGTCCATAACTATATTTGGTATGTATTTGACCCGACCCGGCATGGTCCATTTGGGTTGCATGGCATTGCAATACTTGGATAGACCAAAATGAGAGAAATGACACTTAAGGTTTATTAATATATTATAAGTACTAATATATTAATAATATTATTTAATTAGTATTGATCAAAGAATTAATCTTGAATTAATTAAGTGATCAAAAAGACACTAATTAAATATATGGGGTTGATTATGTAAATAATCTATTCTTGTATAGTAGGCTAATGATCCAATGTTTGTATGGATTGGGTTAAAACCCATAAGGTGCTCCACGGATAGTCCATGGGGGTTACAAACCCATGGATCATGGAATATGGAAAGCCATGACAATTAGGGTTTACATGGTGTAACCCTAATTGTGTCACAACTATATAAGGACTCATTGTCTAGCAAAATGGGCACTACAAGCAAGTAAGAGGGCTAGCCGAATTTTGAGTATAGTGAACTTCTCTCAAGGTTATTCCAAGAATTGTGGTGTTGTGTGAAGCATTTAAGGCATCGCATTTAGGGTGCTAGGCTCACAAAGTCAGCAAGGAATCCAAGCTTCTAAAAGGTATGTTATTCTACTTGAATTTTGTATTACAAGTTCCCCATAACATGCTAGATAGGAAGTAAACCTTGGAAAATCAAATTTGCATGTATTTAGAGAAAACATAGATCCAAGGTTTCTAGGGTTGCATGTACACCATAGGAGTGTTAGAATGCTCAAAATCCAACAGTAATTGTGCGTCGTAAATGCGCGTCGTCTATAGATGACGCGCAAAAGCGTGTTGTCTCTCATTATGACATGGCCTTCCTTGACATGCATTTGCGCGTCGTCTGAGCATTTTACGAAACGCATTGCGCGTTGTAAAAGGCTGTTTTTCTAGTAGTGATGTCAATTTTGATGAAGAGGTTGCCATAGATATTATTCTACACTCTTTACCTTCTTTTTATGATCGGTTTCGTATGACCTATCATATGAACAAGGAGGCGGTCACTCTTAGCAAGCTTCAAGGCCTTCTAAGAACTGTAGAAAGCAACTTAAAAGGCAAGCTGGTTGTGTCTACTCCTACTACTACTACTTCTGCCCCTGTTCTGGCAACTGGACATGGGAAGGGAAAGAAGACGAAGGCTCCCTACAAGAGTCGCAAGGGAAAGTCTCTTGATGGATCCTCTTCCAGTGGGACCAAAGCTAGTTCTGCTAATCCCTCTTCCAATCCGAAGGATGCAGAGTGCTTCCACTATCATGAAAAAGGGCACTGGAAACAAAGCTGACCCAAGTACTTGCATGACATAAAGGATGGCAAGATCAAGCCCTCCTTTGTAGGTATTTACACTATTCAATCTAATAACTCATCACATGCTAATTCTTGGGTCCTTGACACAGGTTGTGGATTTCATATTTGTTCTGATTTGTAGGGACTAAAAAGAAGTAGGGATGTGAAGAACAGGAAGATAAACTTAATTATGGGAAATAGGAAAGTTTGCCTGTAACCAAGATTGGAGTTTATTCTTTATTGCTTAGTACTTGTTTAAATTTATATTTGAATAATTTTTGTTACTCGGCCGATATGGCGAGAAATATTATTTCCTTTCACAGTTTGTATAAACAAGGTTTTACCTTTTCTTTTAATAATGAAGTTGGAAGTATTAATGCTTATTATAATGGTGTATTTTATTTTGAAGCATTACCTTGCAATGGTATATATGAAATTGTGATGGTTGTAGATAACTTAGGAAATAATGTGTTGAATATTGATTCGTCCAATGTTTTGGACAAGGCATGCTTGTGGCGTTGTCGTATTGGACATGTCAATAAGAAGCGCATAGCCCAATTCCAAAAGGATGGAGTCTTGGAGTCATTCGACTTGAAGTCGGATGACACTTGCGAATCTTGTTTACTTGGAAAGATGACCAAGTCACCCTTCACTGGTACTTCTGAAAGGGGTGAAGGTCTGTTCGATCTCATACACACTGGTATGTGTAGATTATTCAGAACCGCCACAAGGGATGCCAAACGCTTCTATGTGACTTTCACTGATGATTAAGCATAAGTCGGAAACTTTTAAAAAGTTCAAGGAGTTTAAGCAAGAAGTGGAGAATCAATTGGGCATGAAAATAAAGATGCTACGATCCGATCGAGGAGGAGAGTATCTTAGTATTGAGTTCCTAGACTGTCTTAAGGAATGTGGAATTGTTTCACAATTGACTTCACCTAGGACACCACAACTTAATGGTGCGGCTGAAAGGCGCAATCGAACCTTGATAGACATGGTTCGCTCCATGATGAGTCGAGCTTCGTTACCTATCTCATTCTGGGGGTATGCCTTAGAGACTGCTGCTCGTATCCTTAGTCTAATTCATACCAAAAAGGTTTCCAAAACACCTCACGAGATGTGGACAGGGATGGTTCCCTCGTTAGACCACATTAAAGTTTGGGGTTGCGAGGCTTTCGTGGGACGCGAGACTCACGACAAGCCCGAACCTCAGAGTGAGCGATGTATTTTCATCGGCTACCCACAGAAATCCTTTGGATATCTCTTATATAGACCAAGTGACAATGTTGTCTTCGTTGGAAGGAGAGGAGTCTTTCGCGAGAGAGAACTCATAGGCCAAGGGGACAGTGGGAGGAAAATTGACCTTGCAGGGCTTTAAGAGTTAAGCGGTGAAGGAACCCCAAACACTAGCACTCAACCCGAGGAGGAAACGCCGATTGAACCAGTTGACGAGTCCGTACCTCTGAGACGTTCCAGTAGAGTTAGTCTTCCACCTATGTTATATGGTTTTCATATAACAACTGAACGTGGTACATTTATCAGTGATAGCACACTGGTAAACCTGGATGAACCTAACAACTACATGGAAGCCATGGTAGGCCTCGAGTCTACAAAACAAAAAGAGGCTATAGACAACAAGATTATGTCCATGTATGACAATCAATTTTGGAACTTGGTTGACAATGTACCGGGTCGTAAGATAGTCGGATGCAAATGGATCTTCAAGAAGAAGACCGACATGGATGGGAAAGTACACACATATAAGGCACGACTGGTTGCGAAGGGCTTTACTCAAACTCAGGGAGTTGACTATGATGAGACCTTCTCAGCAGTAGCGAAGATTAAATCTATAAGGGTTATGCTAGCCATAGCTACATTTCATGACTATGAAATATGGCAAATGGATGTCAAAACCGCTTTCCTTAATGGAAAGTTGGGTGAAGATGTTTACATGAGTCAGCCAGAGGGTTTTGTCAATGCAAAATACCCTAATAGAGTGTGTAAGCTTAAAAAATCCATTTATGGATTGAAACAAGCATCTCGCAGATGGAATCTTTATTTCGATGAGAAAGTCAAAGAGTTTGGATTTTCGAGAAGCGAGGATGAGTCATGTGTGTATGTCAAGGCTAGTGGGAGTACAGTTAGCTTTTTGGTGTTGTATGTGGATGACATACCACTCATAGGAAATGACATCCCAACCTTGCAGGAGGTTAAGTCCTGGCTTGGGAAGTGTTTCGCTA